TTTTTTTTTTTGGCCATCGGTGTCCTAGTGGAGAGATTTCCCCTTCCCTTACTTTTTGTCCCATAGTCTAAACAGGACGTAAGAATAAAACCCACCAAAGTGAGGGAATCCCTGGTTGTCACCAGGTTCCCAATTGGAAGATTTCCTCTTTATGTCCCTTGTATCACAGTTCTGGGGACAACACAAATGAGGGATTTTCTTGCACTTTCATGGTAAATAGGAGAAATAGATAAAGGGGGGATTTCTCCATCCTTGTTTTTCTGCTGGCTGAAGAATAAAAAGCTAACAGTATATGGCCAGCTCAAAGCAGAACTTCATCCTAAAGGAGAAGTTTGGCTTTATATCCCCTCTCTTCTGTTTTTGACACTTTTTCAGGGGGGATGGGGGGGCAGGTACCTGTTTTTGACAGGTACTGGCTGCCACTTCCAATTAGATTACCGCTGTGATTCCCCCCCCGCCAGCAGCCTTCTGGGAGATGTCATGGGTCCCTGAAGGCTGTGGGACTTTTCACAGTTCAGCACTGCTCGCGCATGCGAAGTTGGCAGCCAGCTGGGAATCCACAAGGAATAGAAGCCGGCTACCCACAGTACACATGCCAGGGTCAGGGACCTGAAGGCCAGTGAAGAAGCTGTTCAGGTGGACTGCTGGACAGGTAAGCATCCTTTTAGTACACGTCAAGCCAGTGGTGTATTTAGGTCTTGTGCTGCCCTAGGCAACACAAAAATGGTCTTCCCCACGGACACCGACCAACACCACCCCCCCTTCCCCCTCCCATGGAGAGAGCCTCACATTGACCAACAACACCCCTGCCCCCTACCTGGGAGAGCCTTCCACTACCCCCCGGCGATAGAGAAAAAGACACTCATCTTCACAGTCCCAGACATCCCTGGGAATGAGAGTCAAGCTCTACAGGCACCATCAAGCAGCCCACAGCCTCTCTCAGATCCCACCTGGTTCCCATGGTACGCGTATACCTTCTTTCATCTTTTATTCTGGGAGGAGGTGCTGCCCCCCTAAAAAATGCCGCCCTAGGCAAAGTGTCTTGTTTGCCTTGTGGTAAATACGCCTCTGCGTCAAGCTACATTATTTGACAGGACTCTTGTTTTTGTCTCTAGATTTTGTAATATATGTCAGATTATTTACATATTTACCAATGGTGCTTATTTATTTAGTTTCTTTGCATGACATATTAAATGTGCTCAGTAAGGGCAATCAATTGTGTTGCATGTTCTTGCCTGTTATTGGTTCATACTTTGTCAGCAGTGTTTAATCCCTTTCCAATGGGCTGGATAATTATGCTGCCTAAACTTTCTAGTCATTTCATGGATATCCATTGCTTTCCTTGCACTTTTAATCAGGATTCCAGTAAGCAGCAGTACTAACATTTTGGAATTGCACATCTAGTGCCTTCAGGATAAAAGCCATTAAAATCAAAATCGATTTATTTTTCTACTAGCACATCCTCCGTCCTCCCCATTTTATGCACTTTCTCCAAATTATCTAGCAAAAGTACCTCCAATGCCCTTGCTTCACCACCTTTTTCATGCGTCCTAAAGTTGCACTACTGGGAGGTCACTACTTAAGGCAGGCATGTCCAAAGTCCGGCCCGCGGGCCAATTGCGGCCCGCGTTCCGGACTGAAACGGCCCCACAGGTGAGCTACCCAAATACATAACTTACGGCCCCCGGTAGTGATTCCCTGAAAGCTACTGAGGACTCCAGCGATCTCTTGACATCATCAGCTGGTGCAGGAAGGAGAGCCCAAATCTCGCGACGTCCGAGATCTCGTGAGATTTCTGCTTTCCTTCTCTGTGTGCCGGCTGATGACGTCAATTCCCGCTCGACAGATCCCTGGAGTCCTCAGTGGCGTTCGCAGAATCACTAGTGGAGGGCCGTAAGTTATATATTGGGCAGCTCATCTGTGGGGTCCGGAACGTGGGCCGAGTGATCCCAGGTGGTGCGCAGGGAATTACTACTGGGGCTACCATTTACCATTATTTACTATGTCTGCAGTCTCTGGTCATCTCCTGTACTTCCGCAGTCTCTGGTCATCTCCTGTACTATGTCCGCAGTCTCTGGTCATCCCCTGTACTGTGTCCGCAGTCTCTGGTCATCCCCTGCACTGTGTCCGCAGTCTCTGGTCATCTCCTGTACTGTGTCCGCAGTCTCTGGTCATCTCCTGTACTATGTCCGCAGTCTCTGATCATCCCCTGTACTGTGTCCGCAGTCTCTGGTCATCTCCTGTACTGTGTCCGCAGCCTCTGGTCATCTCCTGTACTGTGTCCGCAGTCTCTGGTCATCTCCTGTACTGTGTCCGCAGTCTCTGGTCATCTCCTGTACTGTGTCCGCAGACTCTGGTCATCCCCTGTACTGTGTCCGCAGACTCTGGTCATCCCTTGTACTATGTCCGCAGTCTCTGGTCATCTCCTGTACTGTGTCCGCAGACTCTGGTCATCCCCTGTACTGTGTCCGCAGACTCTGGTCATCCCTTGTACTATGTCTGCAGTCTCTGGTCATCTCCTGTACTGTGTCCGCAGACTCTGGTCATCCCCTGTACTATGTCCGCAGTCTCTGGTCATCTCCTGTACTGTGTCCGCAGTCTCTGGTCATCTCCTGTACTGTGTCCGCAGTCTCTGGTCATCTCCTGTACTGTGTCCCGCAGACTCTGGTCATCCCCTGTACTATGTCCGCAGTCTCTGGTCATCTCCTGTACTGTGTCCGCAGTCTCTGGTCATCTCCTGTACTGTGTCCGCAGTCTCTGGTCATCTCCTGTACTGTGTCCCGCAGACTCTGGTCATCCCCTGTACTGTGTCCGCAGTCTCTGGTCATCTCCTGTACTGTGTCCGCAGTCTCTGGTCATCTCCTGTACTGTGTCCGCAGTCTCTGGTCATCTCCTGTACTGTGTCCGCAGACTCTGGTCATCCCCTGTACTGTCCGCAGTCTCTGGTCATCTCCTGTACTGTGTCCGCAGTCTCTGGTCATCTCCTGTACTGTGTCCGCAGTCTCTGGTCATCTCCTGTACTGTGTCCGCAGACTCTGGTCATCCCCTGTACTGTGTCCGCAGTCTCCTGTCTGGTCATCTCCTGTATTGTGTCCGCAGTCTCTGGTCATCCCCTGTACTGTGTCCGCAGTCTCTGGTCATCTCCTGTACTGTGTCCGCAGTCTCTGGTCATCTCCTGTACTGTGTCCGCAGTCTCTGGTCATCTCCTGTACTGTGTCCGCAGTCTCTGGCCATCTCCTGTACTGTGTCCGCAGTCTCTGGCCATCTCCTGTACTGTGTCCGCAGTCTCTGGCCATCTCCTGTACTGTGTCCGCAGTCTCTGGCCATCTCCTGTACTGTGTCCGCAGTCTCTGGCCATCTCCTGTACTGTGTCCGCAGTCTCTGGTCATCTCCTGTACTGTGTCCGCAGTCTCTGGTCATCTCCTGTACTGTGTCCGCAGTCTCTGGTCATCCCCTGTACTGTGTCCTCAGTCTCTGGTCATCTCATGTACTGTGTCCGCAGTCTCTGGTCATCTCCTGTACTATGTCTGCAGTCCATTGGTTCAGAATTTTTTTTTCCTGTTTTTCGCCTCTAAAACCTAGGTGCGTCTTATGGTCAGGTGCGTCTTATGGAGCGAAAAAAAATACGGTATCAATTTGGGCTATAATGGATTGGTGCTCAGGATCGCTTGACGTCATCAGACAGTGCAAGGAGAAACAAAGCCCAAATCTCGCGACCTCCAAGATCTCGCGAGATTTGGGCTTTCCTTCTCCCTGTGCTGGCAGAGTGATTTAACACCTGTTTAGATTTGTCATCCAAGTCACAAAATGAAAAGTATGCCGTTTTCAATAAACTTTTGCATAAAATAGTTCATTTGCATTTAATGTTAATGGTTCATCAGAATGTCGGGCGAAATGGTCGGCCCTCGCACATGTTCACTTCATCAAATCTGGCACTCTTCCAAAAAAGTTTGGACACCCCTGACTTAAGGGATGCATATATGTATCCAGGAGGTATCTGGCTTGCTATGTCAGTCTTCTCTTTTTTGACATGCGTCGCCCATCCATGTGTGAAGGCCAGTTATAGACTGGGGCAGTGACCATTATTGTACTGTTGAATTATTGGTCAAGGGGCTGCACTGGATACCCTAGCTGCCATTATGCTACATGCTGGGTGTCCAGTGCACGCCTGTACCTTTAAGCAGGGGTGGGCTCCCTCAGGTTCACCTGCCCTTGGTCTATCCATTAAATGCATGTGCCTCTATGGGGGCTCTCATAATTTGTAGAGTTAGGACTACAGAATATCCGGGTGCTGTGACGAGGCTCTGTAGCTTACATATGTATTTGAAAATGTGTGCTAACTAAACCCCTGTTTATAACGTATACTGTTAGACAGATTGATTCAGTTTGTTTGCAGGCTGACTGGCAAGTTGAGCAAGAGAACTTTTTCTCTTTTTTGACATGCGTCGCCAGTCCATGAGTTCCTTGCTGTAAAGGCCAGTTATAGACTGGGGCAGTGGCCATTTTTGTACTATTTTTGTAAGTCAGGACTAGCCTGATATTATCCCCTGTTCTTGTTTCTCAGGTCTATGTATCCTTGTTGTCTAATGGTGCCAAGAAGAATACTACTGTTTTTGTGGCTGTATCTCCTTATTGTCCTGCTATGTCAGGAAATTCTAAATAAAGAAGTTTAAAAAATATATTTATTCTATTGTTTTTATAAATAGAAATTTTTAGAGAGGCCTACATAAAGTATACCACAGAAGTAACTGAGTGTCATTTTCCTACTAAATAATCAAAAAATTGTACAAGGACTGACGTTTAAAGCGTTACTAAACCCACAACAGTAAAATCAGTCTGTATATGCAGTAAAGCACGCTTCTTACACTCACTGTGGAACCTAAGGGGTTAATATCCTGCATTGTGTAAAAAGGATGTTTAATCCTGTCTTCTCTGATCCTCCCATTCTTCCACTGTCCCCTTATCTCCTGATAGAACAGAGCCATGGGGGCAAACTACACATGCTCATTTTGGTGTGTATTGCTAGAGAGTTTTTGGTGGGTTTTTTTGGGAGAGTGCATGTGATCAGCACAGGGCCAATCAGCACTGTCCAGACAGAGGGTTAGGGGTTCTGCAGACTCATAGGAGAGTGAGAGGAGAATGAAAACTCCTCCTACAAGCTTTAACCCGTGCTCTGTTGGGCACTGATAGAAGTCGCAAGACTGCTATATATTGATGATAAGAAAAGGTATTTAGTTTATATTTACTAAAATAATTGCATTTCCATGTTCTGTGTACTGTGGGAGACCAAATATAGTGAATGCAGGGTCAAGGGTTTAGTAACACTTTAATCAGCTGATCATATTGAAACTACTTGCACTCTGAAAGATTTCCCCCCTCCCCAACCTGGCCATTTTTTGCAATACGGCGCTGCGTTAGTTTACTTACAATTGCATGGTCTTGCAATACTGTACATAAATAAAATTTATGTCATTTTTTTCCCCACAAATAGAGCTTCTTTTTTGCTAGTTAATCATTTCTGCGTTGATGTTTTTTTTGCACTATAAATGAAAAAACACCTCCATTTAAAAAAAACAACAATTTTTTACTTTCTGCTATAAAACATAGCTAATAAAAAAAAATGTAAAAAAATCAAATTTCTTCATAAATTTAGGCCAAAATGTATTCTGATACATATTTTTGTTAAACAAAATCCCAATAAGCGTATATTGATTGCTTTGTGCAAAGGTTAGAGTGTCTACTAATGGCGCTATATATACTGGAATTTTTTTCTTAAATACTAGTAATGGCAGTAATCAGCGACTTATAACGGGACTGCGATATTGCGGCGGACATTTATACACTAACCAGGGTGGATTTGATTTAAATCAAACTGATTTAAATCACGATTTAAATCACTAGTCAGTAAGGCTTGATTTAAATCATAGTTTTCTACATAGACTAATTCTTGCTGGTATAACTTTAATATGCAAGTAGATGGAGATTTTTAGAATAACAACTTTTCATATTAGTTTTTTTATCCCCAGTTTAATAGGTTAATCATTCATATTTGGACAACTTTTCTGTTGTACTTAGGAAGGAGAAAAATAATCATTACCTTAATAAACAATTTAAATAGATTTATTCAACTGAAACAATAACATTGCAGCATATGTTATTTGCTCAAACAAACATCCATGTTTGTTAACTAATTTGGCTAAACAAAGTATATATATATTAAGAAACTTAGACTGTCAGCCCCTTCCTCCTCACACTTAGTTTCACTTTCTTCTTGTGCAGATCTATTCCACTCCAAACAATCAGAAAAAATATTGTTTCTATTCTATTCACTGAACTTCTTGAAACTTAGCACTGAAGGGGTTTGATTCTGTATTCATAGGTTTGTAGAAGTTAGGATTAAGGTCTTTTTCTTAACTCTGTTCATGTTATAACATTTTTGCAGTGAAGAAGAGGCATGTGATCTCCGCTTAGTCAAATTCAATTTTTAGAACTGCAAAAGTAAACCAAACATCTGTGATAATATCTTGTAGGCAGAGAAACTGCCCAATAATCTTACAAAAACCTCTGGAAGAGCATGACATTGTGAATGGATTAATGGCATTTATTTACCAAAAAAATGAAACATATACAGCCTTATTCTACATAATTAAAAAACTAATCTTTATTTCATGATGGAATAACCTTTGGATGGTAATATATTTTCCTCAAAAAGCATTTTATACAAAAAAATCCGATTAAAATCAAAAACATCCAATTTAAATAAAAAAAAATCCGATTTAAATAAAAAAAATCTGATTTTTTTAAAAAAAAAATTAGGAGAATTCCTTAGGGACCCCCCAGGTCACTAGAACTAGTGTCCCCACTGGAAGATTTCCCCTCTATTACTTTTCTGGGGACAACCCAACATCTGGGATTTTCTTTTACTTTCACTTTCAATGACAATGGTAAACAGGACGAATAGAGAGGGTGAATCTCCTTAAAGTGTTACTACACCCAAAACAGTAATATCAGTCTGTATATGCAGTAAAACATGCTTGATATACTCACCGTGGAACTTAAGGGGATAATCCTCTGCATTGTGTAAAAAGGCTGTTTGATCTTGACTTCTCTGCCCCTCCTCTTGTTCAAATATCCACATCTTATCCCCTGATAAGACAGACTGAACCCGTACCCATTCTGCACATGCTCAGTTTATTGTGTGTTGCTAGAGAGGCTTTGTTTTCTTGGGAAAGTGCACGTGATCATCGCAGGACCAATCATTACTGTCCAGATAGAGGTCAGGGGTTTTGCATCCTCCTAGAGCAGAAAGAAAACTCCTCCTACAAGCTTTAACCAGTGCTCTGCTCAACACTGATAGAAGTCACAAGACTGGTCTAACTGCTGATAAGAAAATGTATTTAGCAATTCATATCTAATAAAATAATTGCACTTCCATGTTCAGTGTACTGTGGCAGACCAGATATAGTGAATGCAGATTCCTGGGTTCAGTAACACTTTAATGGGGGCACAGACAGCAATAAAAACTAACAATGGTTTCTAATCATCCAGTAATGTGTGTAGAAGTGCTGCAGGTCTTTTCTGGGTCCCAAAGATATAGTGAATACAGATTCCTGGGTTCAGTAACACTTTAATGGGGGCACAGACAGCAATAAAAACTAACAATGGTTTCTAATCATCCAGTAATGTGTGTAGAGGTGCTGCAGGTCTTTTCTGGGTCCCAAAGACCAGGCAGAAACCTTTGGTACTTCTGTGCACATGCAAGATATTCAAAGATGGTAGTGCGGGCGAGGAGGGGTTGGACCAAAATGTCAGGGGACCGAAGTTACTTTTTACATGCTGGTGAGACCAATATATGGGAGGAACATATGTCATCCCATTCCTCTGTGAACATAGTACGTAGTAGGATCTGCTATTTAGTCCTAGTAACCATGTATTTTTATGCAGCTTAGTGTATAGCAAGTGGGAATAGAACATGGTTACCTGTGCTGCTTTTCCTCTCTCCTAGTCTGAGCTATTCTATATAGGAGATTGCCAGAGGCTGATATCAAGTCGAATTAAGGGGGAACTTTGCCCAAAAGGGGAAGTTCCTAATTAGGAACTGGTCCACCGCTCCCTGTTAAGGATTGGCAACTTTGGGGGGCGGTTACTCGAAATTGACAGGTACCCACTCCAACTTTCACTGCGATCGCCTAGGTGATTGGAAACGTAAGTTGTGTCCATGCCCCCCCCCATAGTCTTCTGGGACACATGATAAGTCTAAGAAGACTGTAAGACCATTCACAAAGTGCAGCACTACTCGCGCATGCTCAGTGGGCACCCAGCTCTGAAGCTGAAAGCTGTCCAAGCTGGGTGCCCACACTTAAGATGCTGGCACCAGTAACACAGAATGGCCGGTGAAACGGGCTGCGGGGAGGACACCGATGGATCGAGGGAGAGGTGAGAGGCTGTTTTTTTAAAAGTCAGCAGCTACAGTTTTTGAAAATTTTGAACTAGATAGTGTGGGATTTTCAGGGTACAAAATTACAATGATAAACAGATTTAAAAACCACAATACATTTTATTTAATCTTACAAAACAAAAAAGAAAGAAAAAAAGAGTAAATAATTACAATACTGTAAAAACAAAAATTGAAACTTGGCTCTATTGTTGCAGTAATTTCCTACATGTTTCGCCCAACAAGGGCTTCTTCAGGGGAGAGAGAGAAAAGCTTCAACTGCAATACAGTCTACAATATATCAAAAATAATATACATAAACAAAGGAGTTATGACATACTTGCACACAATGAACATAATAATCAAAAAATATCAAAGAACATGCCGGTCACCCTAGATGTCAGGGTCATAGAGCTTGTGTACATTGTGGCTGGGTGGTTTTGTTTCTATTGCTACCCTTAATTCAGCTGTCCTGCTTAGATGTAGCTCCTATAAACTTCCCAGGCGGTATTCCCTAGTGTAGCTCGGCGTTAACTTTCAGTACCAGAAGCGGTAACCCCAAGTTACACTCGGGAATACCCTGCAGTGTTGCTCTGGGATCCCTCGATCACTTACCTTGTCCTGCACTCCAGCGATGTCCCCCCTGCAGCGTCCTCTGCCATGTCCTCCGGCCAATGCCGGCATCCGTCTTCCAGGTTCCATTCCCTGCGAGTGTCGGGACATATGGGACGTACGGGGGACGGAACCGGTGGGAAATTCAAAAATGTAAAAATTTGACATTCACTCAATACACTCAAATCTGATAGTACTACATTACTGTATCAAACCATTTCACATACATTTTGTCCCTAGTGCTTTGTCCTGTGCCCTGCCTGCATTTTTACTGTTCTTTCTGCCAGGAAACTGAGAAATGTCCATGGCGTCCAAAAAACGTCCCTTTAGGTCAAAAGCAGTTTAGACCAGCTAGAGAACAGCGATAGTAAATTAGAACCACTTGCAGAATTGAGTGATAATGATTCGTGGGGAAATTCGTCATCAGACACTGAAAATGATTCTGCGACTTTGCTCAGTGATGTGCCAACTTGGCGCTCTATTTCAAATTTCAGTGTTTTTGGTTTGATTACATTATTGAATAAAATTTATTACATTATTATTTTTTTATTATTATTTATTATATTATAATTTATGATTTCAAGTTTCAAATTTTATCATACCCGGGATGTTTACTAGACTCTTGTTCAGACAGATTTCAGTGAGTTATTCCTAAGAGTTAGCTTACAATAAAAAACAACAAATTTCCATTGAAAACAATGTACCGCTTTGAGCACAGAAATACTGACATAATCAGACCGCTCGGGAGGTTAAGAGATCTGGCTGTGTTTTCGTCGGCTTCGGTTCGTACATGCGCAATAGAGACCTCGCGCATGCGCAGTTGTATATCGGACATCCGCACCCGGCCTATGACATCACACATCGGCTGGCATTAAGGGTATAAAATAGGGCGGGAATAAAGATATGGCTCTTTAGCGAATCAACTGTGCATATGTAGGATCTCACGAGACCTTTGAGACCCCTTGGAGGTAATCTGAGAGACTTGTGTTGAAGGGAGGGCTTCAGGAAAATGGTGACTGCTCAGTCACCTGGTGGATTCTGTATAGTGCATTGTTCTGAATACTGTTTGATTTTTACAGCTAATATTCTGAACTTGTGACCTCTCCTGACATCTAGTGACTGAATTGTATATCAACAATTTGAGTCAAAAACGGCTTTTTTGTTTCTTCTATTGCCTGAATTGTGATAATTTACAGGTACATTCATTTTTTTTTTTTTTTTTTTAATTATTTCAATGACTTGACATTACCTGGTGTTCTCTCTTCCTCTGATTCTCCTTTTGCCTCATATTGGTAAAAATGTAATTAATTCATTTGTGCTTATTTATACCTATGTTTAGATGGATATTTGATCCCTATTATATCCTCTACAATTGCACGGATGCATAGGCCAACTAAGTTCTTTGATAGTGCATTTTGATATGCGGTAGTGGCTCAGTGAGCCTGACATCTATGGTGAGCTGGCCTATGTTCTTTTACATTTTTGATTAATATGTTCATTTTGTGGAAGTATGTCATAACTCCGTTGTTTATGTATATTCTTTTTGATATATTGTAGACTGTATTGTGGTTGAAGCTTTTCTCTCTCCCCTGAAAAAAGCCATTGTTGGGTGAAACATGTAGGGAATTACTGCAACAATACAGCCAAGCTTCAGTTTTTGTTTTTTACAGTATTGTAATTATTCTTTTTCTTTCTTTATTTCAGGTACTTATATAGCGCCGTCAATTTATGCAGTGCTTTACATATATATATTGTACATTCACATCAGTCCCTAACCCTCAAGGGGTGTACAATCTAAGGTCCCTAACTCACATTCATACATACACATACTATGGACAATTTTATACAGGATCCAATTAATCTACCTGCATGTCTTTGGAGTGTGGGAGGAAACCCACACAGGCACAACATGCAAACTCCAGGCAGGTGGTGCCATGGTTGGGATTTGAACTAACAACACTAGTATTGCCAGGCAGAAGTGCTAACCACTAAGTCACTGTGCCACCCACTGTGTCCCCTTTTTTTTGTAAGATTAAATAAAATTTATTGTGGTCGTTAAATCTGTTTATCATTGTAATTTTGCACCCTGAAAATCCCACACTATCTAGTTCAACATTTTCAAAAACTAGGGATGTGGTGCGATTTAAATATCCTGTCACTCACTCACTCGCAACTCCTTGACAATACAGCTACAGTTTTTGTAGCTGCTGACTTTTATTTTTTTACAGTATGACTGGAACTCCACTTTAAGGTACTTCCACTGCTTGCATTTTAGGCAAGTATATTTAATAGTGTATTCGTGAATACAGACTGCAATCATTTCTCTTTCATCTCTGCCTGTAGTTCAGCTACAATAAACTGGTATTACTTTTAAGGGGATAGAAAAAAACAGTGATTTTACCATTCCCATACCACTCTCCCCGAAACAGCCAGAAAGGGTCATACACATGCCACAGATGCAGAAAATATAAATCAGCATGTCCACAGTTTGTCAGGCAGCACCTGCAAAAACACAAACACAAGAGGGTACACTAGCCTAGTACATTGTCCCGCTTAACATTTATTAAAACACAGCATAAAATGTACTCACAAACCATATGGAAATGACAGCATATCAAGCTACTGCTCCATAGCGCGGTAGTTCTTTTTGCTCTGAAGAAAAAGGTTGAGCCCTCGAAATGCGTTAGCCCACTGCAAACCTGGTTGAAGTCTTCCCTGGGATGAGAGCATGCAGAGCTGGATGAACTACCATTCCACAGACCAGTAGCTTGATATGCTGTCATTTCCATATGGTTTGTGAGTACATTTGAGTTTTAATAAATGTTATGCGGAATAATGCAGTAGGCTGGTGCACCCTCTTGTGTTTTTGCAGTTTCTAGTTGGGACAACTCCAGTCCTGTGAGGGAAGCAAGGTCTGAAATAACCCTGTATTGCATATAAAAGCAATCACCCATGAGGAACTGGTACTAGACCAACACACACATGCATAGAAGGCATTGTTGTACTGTGACAGGCAACACCACCTATTAAACTCACCTATTGAAGTTAATGGGACCATACATTTGGCTTGCAGTTGGAGTTAGGTAATTAAATGCAAAATCGCTCTTTGGCAAAAGAAAAAAAAAAAAAGCTGAAAAAAGGCATTCATTCAGGAAGCAGTATGCTCCCAGGGATAAATGCAAAGAATGCATGCTTCTTGTCCAGCCACAGCAGCTTTCAGCCTCTCATAGACTTTTACAGTTTCCCAGGAGCAGGAGCGGATGATGCACTTGTGCCTTAAACCTGTAGGAAAACTCCAGAGTCTCATGCATAGGTAGGGTTGCCACCTCATCCCTTTAAAACCGAACACATTACTTACACAGGTTCTCAGGCTAATTTAATGCAGATGAGGCACTAATTGGGTTTAATTACCCCCTTAATCAGCCACAGAACCTGTG